CGTATTTATCATGTTTTACAGGGAACAAATTCCGCAACATTTTTATTAAAAGTGATACTCTGGTTTTTATAAAGCATAAACAAAATCGGTCTTTTCTGGCAGTGAAAATGGGGATGTCACACATGAGTTACATAGTGTAACCCTAATAGCCACAATATATAAGGACCCCATGGCTCAAGAAATCGGCACAAAAGGTTTCATATGAGAGGGCTAGCCGATTTGAGCACAAGGACTTTTCTCTCAAGTTATTCCAAGTTGTTGTTGGTGTTGTGTGAACCATTTGAGGTGTCACACTTGAGGCACTCAGCTCTTAAGCTCCATGGAATCAAGCTACAACACAAAAGGTATGTTACCCTAACTAGTATCTTATTTGGTATATGAGAATGCATGCTAGTTATAGGTTTAATCCTTGGAAACCATTTGCATGTATAATTAGTGAAAACATAGATCCAAGGTATTTAGGGTTGTATGTGCACCATAGGATGTTGTAGTATACTAAAACCCAACATCTACTACCATTCACACCTACTCATACTTGTCCCAAGTATCGTCTCGCAGTTTTCCAAGTCACCATGCAAGAAAATCACATAACAACTTAACGCACCAGATAACAAAACCAAGGCTTATATTACTTCTTGAAATGATTACATGGATGTTAAAGTTCAACCTATACTATGCCTCTAATAGTCTACACCTCCTGATACTATCCGCATGGCTACTTCATAACTTGATCTTCGGGTATCAGTCCTCATTCCTGATTCCTTGCATTGTCATCTGCTTCGTTAAGGATCATATGGAATGCTTTTGCCTTCGGCTTTGGCGGTGCATTTTGCTTTGTAGCTCCTTCCCTCTTTGCGTAGTATTGCTTGAAGTGCCCTTCTTTATTACATCTGTAACACACCCTTTTTCTGAATGTACACTCATCGGCGTAATGCCCAGACTTTCCATACTTGAAACATGTCACCTTCTCACCACATTTTCCAAAGTGTTTCTTCTTGCACTTATCGCACCATCTTGCTTCACCTCCTCATCCTTCGAACTTCTTCGAACCAGACTTCGAGCATTTTCTCTTCTCGTTTAGATCCTTCAAAATTTCTCTTTTCGCCAACTTCGACCTTGTTGGTGGCTCTACTCTTGATCATTTCTTCAACAGACTTAGCAGCCCAGATAGCCGCCTTGAGGGTAGGTGCCTGGCGTACTGGCACAACATATTCCCATGGTAGTCCCTTTGTATACTTATCGACTTTCGTTAGTTTGTCAGGGACGATACGCAAATCAAATTCCATCTTGTCGGTGAAGGCATTGGTGTATTCGTCAATAGATATGTTGCCCTTCTTCAACGTTAGGAATTGGTTATCTAGCTCTAGCAGATTTTGGGCCGAGCAGAACTTTCGTTTGAAATGCACCAGGAACTCTGCCCAAGTCAGTTGCAGTGGCTCATTGGGACTCATGATCTTTCCCAAAGTGTTCCACCAGCGAACAGCGCCACTCCTGAACTGACACACTGCATATGTGGTTTGTAGCTTGCCTTTGCATCCAAATGTTATGAAAGCCAACTCCATCTCCGATATCCAGTCCATAACTCTGATTGGATCCTCTTTCCCAGTGAAAGACGATGGTTTTCAAGTTGTGAAATCCTTATACTTGCATCCGTTTCTCTCGGTCCCTTCCTCTTGGTTATTCCTCCTAACCATTGGCGGTTCAGCTTGACCAACGGTTCTGCTGTAATTCCCTTCTTCTGACTGTCCGTCATTTAGTTCTGGTTGTTCAACGGGCATAGTAGGTTCATCCCTATTAAGCAACATTTGCCTCATCTCCTCCCTTTGTTCGGCCATCATAGCCCGAATCATTGCTTGGACTCCTGCCATTGTGATTGGCTCGGGTGCAGCTGCTACCTCTGGTGCACGTTCAATCATAGGCTGCTGATCAACATTTTTATTAGCGTTTCCTAATCCGCTTCGAGTTCTCACCATGTTGATCTATACACTAAATCAGACGTTTGGTGTGTAATGACGAGAATTAGGAAATATTTTATTTACAATCGATGTGTAAATCTCCTTATCACTTCGAAAGGCTACATGTCGGTTCTAATACCGTAATTAAACGTTTAGAAATCTGAACACATAAAGTTTCCAGATCCGGTCAGCAACAGACCATAGATCTGATCGAACGATCGCATCATAAAGCATCACAAATTATTTAGCACATAAAAGCATTTTAGGCATCTTCCCTAAATAAGCTAGTGGTTGTTTCTATTCAGGTGTACTACCTAAAATATATTAGACACACTCCTCACGATCATCGCTTAGCATTCTAAGTTTAAGTCTAGAAATTTTCCTAAAATTCCTAGTTCGCTTAAACTAATGCTCTAATACCAACTGTAACATCCCCATTTTCACAGCCAGAAAATACCGATTTTTTATGCTTTATTTAAAAAAATCAGAGTCCCCTTTTTATAAAAATGTTGCGGAATTTGTTCCCAGAAAAACATGATAAATGTGTTATCAAAGCATTTCTAAAGAAATGTAGTTCATTTTTTTAAAACTTTGGGATGTCATCGTCAATACAGAAACATAAGCATAAACAGACATTACATTCATTTACACTAGTGATCTACATCTCCTTAATCTCTCAGTGTAAAATAGCTTCGTATCGACACCTGTGATACAAATAAACTTGAGTGGGTCAGGTTGGGAAACCTGGTGAGTACATAGGGTTTTCAACCCACAATAATGTAATTATGTTTAATCATTAAACAATCAACCCAATTATCCATCCCCATTATCTTCTTTATTTCTTAAGGATCTATCCTAAGAATCATTTATCATTAGGCACGAATTCCATCGTTTGCCTAATGACACAACTGTCAATGTTATCTATTAAGCACAACTGTCAATATTATCATGTAGGCGCAACTGCCAGAATTATGACATTCTCTATTAGGCCTAGCTGCCGATATTTTTCTTTGGGCACAGCTGCCAGGGTCATGATGTTCTCTATTAGGCGCAGCTGCCGATACTACCCTTTGAGCGCAACTGCTAGGATGTCTAGAGTACATCGTAGATCAAAACATCTACAGGTTGTGGCACAGCTGCCAATGCTCATCTATAGGGTACTAAGTCCATTGCTGCCAATGTTTACCTATAGGGCATTATGTCCATAACTGCCAATGTTCCTCTATATCAGCTTTCATCCCTTATCATTCATCTACCCATGTTTTACCCAACATATTTTGTAGATATAAAATACATATACAGTTTAAATCATTTAAAACATATATAAGATCGTTCATCTAGAATAGATATCAAGTAAACATATAATATGCACACATAGCACGTAATTTATATAAAATACTTCATATGTATGTGTAAGATGAAAGTAACTATGCACTCACTTGTCAAAGTGATGATTCCAAACTCGGGCAGCGCTTCGCTTCTAACAATTCTATTTTCCTTTGACGAAACCTAGCATTATCATCGCTAAGTTTTAGTCTAATCTTTATTGCGACTAATTATTAGTCTAGATTCATCATTAAATCAAAGTCTACTTTCATGATCTATCAAGTAAGGAACAACCAGATAGGATCATATCGGAGGTAGGGTCCGTTTGTTATACGAAGTATACTGTTTGGAAATCCCACTTTAAACACCTCACTAAATCACAGCCTAGACATCATCCCCGTAAGTAGATCAATCAGTATAACGACTTTGAATCACTGATAAATCTTATTTTATAGGTTCATAATAACGATATTATATTTGAATATAAGCTATATTTAAAATAGGGTAGATGTATCTCACTTACAGCGGGTTTTATTAAAAACCGGGCTCTGCGCGGGCAGAGCTTCTCGAGCTGAAAAGCTCTTTTTCTTGGAACCTTCGGAACTCCGGGGCTTTCTTCTAGTGCCTTGAGGCTACTACGGCTTTAGGAGGGATTTTGGGGAGTTGGAGAGAGAGTAAAGAGAGAAAGAATGAGGGAAAGATGTGAGAAATCCGGCAAGCCTCGCATATTATTTATAGGAGGGCCTGACCTCGCTGTGCAGGGCGCTCCTCGAAGCTACGCACTGCGTTCCGGCTGCGCAGGGCGCTCCCTTCGTACGCGATGTGTTTGTGCGAACAGGTGTTCGAGACCTGCTGGAGCTACGTGGCCGATCTGAGACCAAGAGATGCGAACGCGAGGCGTAGGGCTCCATTGCGCGGGGCGTTCCTTCGCAGTCTCGCAAATCACCCTCCCGACTTCTAAAATTCGTAACTTTCGCATACGAGCTCCGTTTTCGACGTTCTTTATATCCACGCGTAGGTGGGACCATACTCTACAACTTTCATTTAGACTTTGTCGGCTAATTTTGACTTTGTTTTTAAAGTTATATTTTTAACAGGCCGGGACAGGAAAAGTCCGTTAAAAATTCATAACTTCTTCATCCGATGTCCATTTTCGTCTTTCTTTTTATCTTTGAGCTCCTTTTAATGAGATCTTCAATTATCATTTAGGTTGTGTCGGCTAAAAATCGATCCATCTAAAATTCGAATTTCGGGTTGTGCACTGCTCTGCTAAATCTTAGAAAAACCATAACTTCCTCATACGAAGTCAGATTTTGACGTTCTTTTTATGTACGCTCTCGGTTTAATGTATACTACGACTCTTGTTTAGATCGATAAGGCTAAAAAGTATTTTATCATAAACTCACTTTTTACGATTTCTGGTGTCGTGCCGGTTTTGCCGTAAAACTTCGACGGGTCATAACTTCTTCTTATAACTCGGATTTCAGCGTTCTTTATATGTACGAAACCCTTGTGACATATACTATAACTTGGTTAAGATTATTTATTCTAAATAATATTCTATTAAAAAATCATTTTTGACGCTTATTGTCTCTAAATTAACTAGCCCGAATCTACGGGCGTTACATTGTAGGTGTGTGTATGTGTGTGTGTGTGTGTGTGTGTTTTAAGTTAAAGACATCCCCTTTTCGATTTATATATGCTAAACAGAAAGCAGCGATGTGGATAAGGTTTGCAGAGAGCTTGAAAATGTGAAAGAGGGATTTGAAAAGGGTTTGAAAGAAGGGGACGATGTATGGAGGATTCTGATGGTGACAAGAAGGAAATATAGTTCCAGTAAGTTGAAGGGTTTTGTAGGCGTTTTTGGTTGCAAATTTTTGTTGCGTCTGATTTTGTTGTTCTAGCTTCTGTATCAATGGACGGTGTTTTAGGATTGTCGAATTCCATCATTGCCTTAGGAGATGATCTTGCTTTATGTTGATCCTGGAAACATGAACAAAAGAGCATTTTCATTCGATCAATAAGTGTAGTTGACTTTTCTGAGTAAAACACGAAAACTAAAACTGACCCATTAATTGATCTATGATAATTAGAGAAATTGGTTGTGTCTAGATTTGCAAGTTATAAAATGTAAACACACACTTATCGTGTGTACAGTGTGTGTTCATGTATTTATGTGTTTTTAATTTGAAGTGGGTTTAATTTGAGTTACACCTAAGAAGAAGAAGAAGAAGAAGAAGAAGAAGAAGAAGAAGAAGAAGAAGAAGAAGAAGAAGAAGAAGAGAGAGAGAGAGAGAGAGAGAGAGAGACTATGGGGTGGGGGTGTGTCAAGTTCTTTTATTTTTATTTGTAATTAATAACTTATTAATGGAAATATGAAAAACAAAAATAAAAAAACAAAAGGGCAAAAGCAAAACCATCCTTCAGGTTTTCCAATGACCAAAACTACAAGACTTTTTTAATTTTAGAACCAAAAACACAGAGAATTTTTTATTTTGGACCATCCATTCATGCAAGTCAGAAACTTTTTGGACCTCATTCACAGTTTTTTGCAAACCACACGGAGCAAATTTGTTGTTTTGTCAATAAGAAGTCAATAAGAATACAACTGCATAAATCCTTAAATCTTTAAATCTTTAAATCTTTGGTTCTCTTATGCAACTAAAATAGGACATCTAGATTTTCATATGTTTTATTTTTTATATAACAATTTGTGAACCGGATGATTAAGCTCGAAGCATTTGGATATTTAATAGATTGCACAAGTGCGAGTAGTGGGAACCAAACAAAACGTGAAGACTTGTAAAGGCTTTTTGCTCCACCAAAAGGAGTACACCACCGATTGGGAATACTCGGTAAATGCTTTAACAAAGCATATGCAATAAAAGAAATCCAAACTACAACAAATTAAATGTTTGGTGATATTTTGTAGGGGTCACGTTTGTAATTTAATGATATGTTTGTGACCAATATGAAATATAAACGAACGAGTCACACAAAATAGAGACTATTTTACCAAGTAAAACAAGGGATGACCAAAGCTAATTAGAAAAATACATAATTTTACGTCTACAAGGCTTATAATGTTAATGCGTTCTTGTAAATTACAAGCAAAACTTTTTTCGAATTTGTTTAAAGTTGGATTTATATCCGATATTTTCGTATGTAAATTTTGAAATTATTATATGGAATTTTGAGGTGTTTTAAGTTTTTATTTACTTTCGTAATACAATATTAAAATTTAGGCACAATCTTTTTGTAGCGGGACAGACTCTTTTAAAAGTTGTTACAGACAAAGTCACCAAACATGAGAAATCGTGCATGGAAATCAACACGTGTTCATACCATTTGTATTTGATATGTTTGGTTTCGTCGCGCCGGATGCGGTGAAGCTTCTTAATAGAGTACAACGGATCATGTATAACAATGTTATATCTCCTAGATTTATGGATGTAATCTTCAATAGAATTAGCTTTACCATACAAAAAGGCTTAGCGGCATTGTTTGTTGTCCGTTTGTCATCTCACTCGTTGTATGATGATAACTAATATAAAGTTCTTTTGTTTATATATATATATATATATATAGAAAACTTCAATAGAGAACCATAATTATTGGTTCTCCAAGGAACAAAATCTTTTTTTTTAAGTTCTAGAGCTTATTTTTTATCGAAAAAAAAAACTAAAAATATCTAAATTCATAACTTAACATTGTGAATGTTAAATATATTTTTCGGATTCACCGTGTAAATTTAAATTCACATTGTGAATTTTCAAAGATTCACATTGTGAATTTGACGAAAAAAAAATTATCGAATTTGATATCATTGGAAAAAAGATAAAAAGTTATGAATTTCTGTATTTTTAGTTTTTGTTTTTTTTTGATAAAAAATAAATTCTAAAAGTTGAAAAAAAGATTGGTTTCTTGGTTAATTATGGTCTTCTACTGAACCTCACCATATAGATATATATATATATATATATATATATATATATATATATATATATATATATTTAAAATAAATAAATAAATCGAGTCCACAAAAAAATTCAAATTGTAAGGATAATTTTATTCTTTTGGTTCAATCTTATTATTTATAAAAATCGACTCTACCAATAAAAAGTAAAAAGTTAAAATAGACAAGATATTTATATTGGTTTGATTCGTTTATATATATATTTGTTAATTTTTAATTTCAAATATAAATAATATACTAGATTATGGTTACAAAAGTTATTATTAAAACAATAATATCCTTTTAATTATATATATATATATATATATATATATATATCTATATATATATATATATATATATATATATATATTGTTTTCTTTATATATGTTTAAGCCTGTTTAGATGGCGTTAATCTACTAGAACTTGAAAGCAAAAAAGACGAAGTATAATAGTTGAGGGACTAAAGATGTGACACATGTAAAGTAAAGCATTAATAAAGAAAGTAGTAATAAAAGAAGGTTTAAAACTCTAAAAGTAACCTGAGGGAGTAGGCGAAGCTGGTACTCCATCCTCGTCTATCTCCTATTTTTCCTCTCTCTCTCTCTCTCTCTCTCTCTCTCTTCTCTCTCTGCATTCCAACATTGCTTCTTCTCATAGCCCTTTACGCCTCTCTCTCTCTCTCTCTCTCTCTCTCTCTCTCTCTCTTATTTTTTTATTTTTATTTTTGAATCCCAAATGTTGATGAAATCTGTATATATGTGTATGTATAAGTGTAAGCCTTGAAAAATTCTATGATTGGATCCTCGGTCTTTTTCTTTACTGATCACGGCTAGGGTCTGAGAAACGAATTAATCCTGTATCCCTTTCCTCAAACCATTCACTTTGACATTGGTGTTCCTCTTGTTCTTCTTCTTCTTATTATTTTTTTCTTTTTTTTTTCTTTTTGATTTTCGATTGTCCCATTCCGTTTGCTTTTGATTTCAACTAGATCTGCATATGGGTCTATTATTAGGAGATATATAGATTTTTTTTACGGTATTTTAGCTACTACCAGATTTGAATTCAGCAATCAAGTGTTGGAATTGAGGATTTTAGTTTGATATTGAATTCATCGTAGTTCCAGCGAAGTTTGTGGCTTTAGCTGTTAGTTGCGTTTCTTTTTTTGCTTATTAGATTGAATTCAATTTACAGTTTCTATCAGTCCACCATTTATTGTTTGTCCAATGACGAGGAATTGATATTTCTTCAGCAATCTAGCGTTCTTCGTTAAGGTAAAACCCTCGCTTGCCTTTCAATTTCAGATTTTTTTTTCCTTCTTATGGATGTAAAACTGTGCGAGTGAGTTTATTCACTTATAGTAAGCTCGATTCTTCCGGTCTTTATTTATTTATTATGATATTAAATATCAGGAAGCGTATTAATGGAGACTAAGCAAAGTTATTAATATTATTCATGTGGGTTTGATAGAGTAGTTTAATTGCTTTATATGGTAAATTGGAAGTGATTTTTGATGTTAGAAAAATGAAGCTGTATGCTACTGTTTTTTGTGGGATTTGGGGTGAGGTGAAGAGCATCTACATGATAGATAGGTGATAGGTCCATTTCTTACTTGATGCTGGATTATTTTTGCCAATTTTTATTCAGTTTTCAGAGGCAATTGTGGGTTTTAGATATTGTTTTAAAGAAATCTGTTGTGCATTCAATCCTGGCATGATGAATTCATATTCTATCAAAAGTGATTATTATAACTTGAAGCTGCAGAAGAAGTTGTAAAACGAAATCTCCTGCATACTTTATTACACCTTTAAAAAGTTTGGAAAGATTTTTCCATATCCACAGTTCCACCCTGCTGATAGATAGCTATATGTTTGTTTGGTTGTGTGTGTGTGTTATGAAGATGAGCAACATGACAAGTGAAAGTGAGGAGAGAATGAATTCACCGAATGATGAAGCCAGCAGTGAAAGAAACATGATAGGAAATGGGACACTGAAGAAAGGTCCATGGACATCTGCTGAAGATGCAATTTTGGTGGATTATGTGAACAAAAACGGAGAGGGGAATTGGAATGCTGTTCAGAAGCACTCTGGGCTTTCTCGTTGTGGTAAAAGCTGTCGTTTAAGGTGGGCAAATCACTTAAGACCTGATCTCAAAAAAGGTGCCTTTACACCAGAGGAGGAACGCCGCATCATTGAACTCCATGCTAAAATGGGCAACAAATGGGCACGCATGGCTATTGAGGTTATACTCCTCTACTTTGCTTCCCAATTTTTATTTTTTTATTTTTTTTTCTTTTTTTAATTCCAGTCCTTCCTTTTTTTTTCCTCTTTTGTGAATGTAAATTGATATTGTATGTTTATACATGCTGCATATGTGTGTGTGTTTGCATGTCCAAACTTATTCCTTGCTTTCTTTTGAATTTTCTTCACAATAAGTCCACATTTGTAAGTATACATGCATACATACACACATTTAATATCATATCATATACATACAAAGACATCCTACTAAGCATATGTCTTCAGCACTTGAGAAAAAGATTCTAAGAAAATCTGAGAAATAAGTTTGCCAATAGTAGGTCTCATGTTTGATGTTCTGTTTTAGTTTTATTTCTTTCCACCATACACATTCTGACCTGTTCCATGAGCTGAATGATTATATACGTCTGTGCATAATTTCAAGTATTCCCCTTGAGTTGGTCTTGCTATATGATAAATCAAGGTTAATGGAAAACAGATTATGCATAGTTAGAACTTTCTGGATATATTATTTTTTATTGTGGCTGACAATTGTTGAATTGTTCTAACTTATAGTGGAGTTGATTAGATGCTTGCTTATGAGTTATGACCTATGTTATAATATGCAAAGGTAAAATACCTAAGGAGATTCCATAAGTAAGATCCTTGGACATACCCACATCACATGGGGGGAAATCCGATAGAGTATGGATTTCCCTCTTGGCACTTTTACTTTTATGAGAAAGCAAAAGTGATGCTTTTGTTATATCATATTTGCTTTTATGCTTCGGAGCAGGGGCACAATGAAATATGTTACCTTTGCATATGAAGGTTCAATGCCCTTAACATATCAGTATGCTCTATTATCTTGTATACAATGTCTACGGATTCGAATAAGTTAGCAGGTAAGAAGACAGAAAGGTTGCATGGAAAAGATTTAAGAAGCATGCTTTCATGAAGTTTATGTAACTTTCAAAGACGTTTTCTTAGGCATATATCTTTGTTTTCAGTATATCTTTAGTAGTAATTCAAGTACTTGTTAAGCATTAAGGTAACCAAATCTTGAAATGGCATCTTCTTTGTCAAACAAAGTATGTTCTTGACATCCTTGCTAAGATAGGAATGCTTGAAAGTAGGGTATCTAAGGTGTGTTTCTTTTTGACTTAATAAACTTAATGAGGAGGAAGCTATACATTAACGTTTCTTTTTTACTTAATAGAGAAAATCAGGGAAATGAGAGTCTCCTCATTAAGTCCTAAGCTTCTACAAATTTTCCCTCATTTATTTCTCCCATCCAATTCCTCAAGTATGTGATAAAGTGTAAATTTATATGACCTTGAACTTGGAAACTTAGAAATTGATGAGTCAGATTGTTATTTGTTTATTACTATTTATGTCAAATATGTTGTATTTAATTATTTGAAACATTCATAATTAGTTCTATCAAATATTTAAGATCATGACTTGTCATTATTTATATAAAGAAAGTATTGAAGTATTTTTATAAATTAATAATTTCTTTGTTGGTTACCAAGTAGACAATCATTTTTCATTGAGCACTAATGCTGACTATTTATTCAGCCGAAAGATAAAACATTTGTTCATTAAGCACTTCCTCCAGAAAGAAATAATTTATTTTGACAACACTTCCTGTAGGCAATTAGTGAAGTAGTATAAAACCTTGAAGAAGTTAGTTGTAGATTGATAGAAAGTTTATGAGGAAAAACTTGAGTCCTGTTAGTGGATGAAGTTTGAGAATAAGAAGAAGATTAAGAAGAAGCTAGTATTTGGGCATGTTTAAAGCTAATTATGGTGATAAAGAGAGTTAAGTAGTTGCTGAACATTTAAATGAAAGTATGTTGCTGTTTCTTGCTAATTAGGGGGACAAAAAATGAAAGCATGCGAAATGCAGAAGTTGTGTATATTTGTAATTGAAGTGAAATTATGTAAGTTTAATTATAGTAATAAAATGGTGATTGGTTTTTGTTATCAGTTACCCGGACGTACAGATAATGAAATCAAGAATTTCTGGAACACAAGAACCAAGAGACGGCAGCGTGCGGGTTTACCGATTTACCCTCCAGACGTATGCCTCCAAACACTAAACGACAACACACAATCCCAAAACATGGGCACATTCCCAAACGGAGATATATCATCATCACATCCCGAAATCTTGCCAAATAACAACTTCCAAATCCCAGCAGTGGAGTTCAAGAATTTAGGATTAAGCCATGAGTTATTTGCCCCAAGCCTCCTGGATAATTTTCTCGATATTCCCGGAAATACCCTCCTCGGATCCAATTTCCTATTCCCGATTTCACATCCTCCCAAAAGAATCAGAAGATCCGATCCATATCCCATCTATGATGGTGGTGGTTTGAATGATATTTTTCTATATGAAGATTCAGGCAGCCATGCCTTTTTAAATGGCAACACTTCTTCTTCTTCTGATCCCATTTCATGGGCCACGAAGATGGAGCTCCCTTCACTCCAATATTCTTCTACCCAAATGGGTAGCTGTGGTGCACCTTCTTCCCCGCTGCCTTCCCTTGAATCTATCGATACTTTGATCCAATCTGCTCTGATTGGTCATCAAAAGTCGGATAATAGGAACAGCGGTTTGTTGGAAGCCGTGCTCTACGAGTCACAAACTTTGAAAACCTCAAATTCAAAGAATTCCAATTGCAATTCCAATGATGCTGCTGCTGCCTGTTCCTCTGATGATAATGATGATGACTGGGAAGCTTATGGGGACCCGATGTCACCCTTGGGTCATTCTGCTGCATCCGTCTTCAGTGAATATACTCCTCATACCTCACTCGATGAACATCATGATCAATCCCTCGAGGCCATTTCAGGTGATATATTACCATCCTACCTTCATTTCTTTCTATATATATATATATATATATATATATATATATATATATATATATATATATATATATATATATATATATATATATCAACTCAATGCTAATTGCTGTTGGAAGTCTTTAAATTTTTTATTTAGGGTTAGATGCAACAAATTAGCAACATACTTTTATTTCTTTCTGTTACGTCAGTATACATTGAAAAATCTATCCGCTTATACAATGCCATTCAAATAGGAAGCAATTTTTATTGCTAGTAGAAACGGGTGGATTTTTCAAAGTACAATATCTTAATGAGACAAAGGTTGAGAGCACAATATTATAACTGCATAGATTTTTTCAGAGTACAATGCCTGCCTGCCTTATAAGGGAAAAAGATTTAAAGCATAATGCTATAATTCGGTGGATTTTATCAAGTACAGTGCCTTATAACGGGAAAAAAAAAATCAAAGTATAATGGACAAATGAGGGAAAGTAGGTTGCATTTAGCCCTTTTTTGTGCAACACTTTCAAATAAGTGTATCATTTAGAACAACAATCAATATGAATTGTTCAAGACTAGCCTTATTCTTTTGATGAAATTCCCTTTTATTTATTTTTCGTCTGTGATGTGAAAGTAGGATACTACACAAATAAATGGAAAGCAGGTTGCTATTTCTTGCATTTAGCCGATTTACGCCACTCAATAAGATATGAGTTAGTTAGTTAGTTAGTTAGTTCTAATAAATATGATTGATTGGTTTGATGAAATTTGTTTTGTGTGGTGTGTTTTATGTGGGTGTGAAGTGAAACAGGAAGCAGAAGCAGCAGCAGCAGCAGATGAAACTGGTGGTAAGCAATCAGAGAGAGAAGACAATGACAATGACAATGAGATGATGATGATGAAGTATTGCAGGCCAGATTTGCTTCTGGACTCCCCCTGGTTTGGTGGTGGTGGTGGTGGTGGTGGTTCCACTTCCACTTCAAACAAAGACCATTGTGGGCTGCTAATCGACCCTCTCGGTGCACTTTTTCCTGATGATTTTTGCAACGCCTCCAACCACATGTCTGTGCCTGGGCCTTCTTCACCCTTTGATGTTTGATGAGAAGATGAAATCTGTTAATTACTTTGAAAATTTTCTGGTATGGATTCATTATGAGGATCTTATTTGGTTAAATGTTGATTAGACCTCAGACCCTTGGTCCTTTGTTGTTTCTACTACCTTTGATTTGACTTTCTCATGTTATAGACTTGTTTTGCCTATATTTCCACTAAAAATGTTCATCGATAATGTGTTCCCTAACAATTTTACAACTGGATATTGGAAATATATTGTATTCACACCCATTGTGCTATCCAATCTTTATCATTGTGAGGAAATGGAGTGAAATATCATCTTATTATCTTATTTGGCTTTTTGAATTGTATTTTTTTTAACATGTTTTGGAGTTGGAGATTAAAAAGAAAAAAAATAGTTATTTGAAAGTGTTGTCGATGGTTCAAGGCTTGTGGTGGTTGATAAAGGTGTGTATTAATATAGTAGAATTTAAAGAGTGTTGTGACATTTTATTTTCATTTCTTTCTATTGTAGGATTGTATTATATTTTTGAAATAATTTTACTTTGAAAAATATGTCCATTATAACATCGTATCTTTTACTTTGTCATTATTTTAAAAAATCTACGTAATAATTTCTTATTTGATTGGATGATATTGTTATAATTGGATAGAATGAAAAAGAATAAAAGTAAGCATTGGCTTCTCCGTATGGGAGGTGTAGTTTAGGGTTTCGGGTTTTCAATTAGAAGTTGGTAAGGAGACATTGGTGTAGTTTGATGTCTTAGCATATCGCCCAAAACGAGAGCTGCAGCACCCATTTAAAAATATGATTTCCTGGATCGGGGTTATAATGTGTTAGTATTACTATGGAGCACCACTTTTGGTGTGTTGTAATGTTAAAGTGATAATGATCAAGCTTAGTACGAAATAGAAATGCTACCAAAGGGCTTATGTAATTCACTCTTTCGATTAAACTGAAGAGTAGAAAAAGGAGAAAAAACAAATATATAAAAATGGTAAACGGCACCCCCATTAGAAAGGTAAATGACAATGTCGTAAAACAAAAAAGGTGAGAGTGAGACCATATCCAACATGCTTATAAATTCCGAACTTCTTACCTTTGGAACAAGAAAGAAAGAAAGAAAAAAAAAATGTAAAAATATCCCTTTCCAGAATCTGAAAGAATACCAGCAAAAATTAAAATGAAAAGAAGAAAAATTTTGCTAAAAGATATAACAGCAATCAGATGCTGGCTTGATTCTTGAAAGGGGTGTCAGTAGACCAACCCAATGAATACCAAACACAGTACAATTCCTTCTATCCTATGTATGTATCATCAATTGCCATACATAACAAACAGAGCCCAAGTGTAGAGGATTGCGCTTAGCAAATAGCATGCAAAAGCAATACGCAACTAAACTAATAATCCCACGTATTATAATCCCTTTTTCCAAGATTACTGGAATTCCCAAATCTTGATGCTGAATACCTGTGGCTGTGGGTGTGTTGATGATGATATGATCCATTAGAAGTTTCATAATGAAGTTTTCGTCCATGACTGTTGCTGTTGCTGTTGCTATTGCTATGATAGCCTGAATTATAACCACTACCACTACCACTACCATTATTATTATTATTATAGGTATGTGATCTATCATTGGACTTGTACCTATCTTGAAACTTAGGAGGAGGAGGAGATCCCCATTCACCGGGGTCTTCAGTTGTCCAGCCACCCCTACTATTACTATTACTATTACTACTACTCCTTCGCTTGTTATTATTAAGTTGAGAATGAGATGAAGTTGACTGCCCAAATTGTGTTTTATTCTTTTTACGTGGGTTACCTAAATCATGAGAAACGGACCGGGCTCCTACATGGTTATCCCTCGAATGAGACTGACTCTTCCTAGGACTTGAGTACTCGTTTTTCCTCTTTTCCTTCTGAAAAAACCCCAACACATAAATAAAGCAACTTAATGTTAGTATATTAATCCAAGAATCCGATGCAAAATATGGAGATTCGGATTATCTGAAAATTTATAACATATTCATTTTATTATAATTATACAGACACAATGGAACAGTTGCAGACACTTATTGGAGGTACATTTCTAATGAATTTTTTCTTTATACATATAAACTTTTTGAGTATAAAAAGGATAACTTGGTTCGAATCCGTTGGCTTCAAATCTTTAATAAAGATGTAATTTACTTATCCAAAATTGTCGAATGTTGAAAACTTGGCATCCGGTATTAAAATTAGAAAATTTCAAATATCAAAATCCACTATCTTAAAACGTGGGATATCTGGTTTTGAATGGATAAGAAAAAACAAATAATACCTTAGTAGAAGTAGTAGTGCATTTACGTGCCAAATGGCCTTCCCGACCGCACTTGTAGCAAGAACTAGGAGTCCCAGTCCCATTACTGGTTGTTTCTGCATGAACTCTTGCACATTCCTGTACAAAATTTAACAATTATATACAAATTTTTCAAGAAAACTTTTCTTTTTTACAAAGGACTTACCCAACCGTTATGGCCCAACTGACCACATCTATAACAAGAAACCTCTCTCGGCCCACCATTTCTATTGTTCACACAACAAAGATGCCCAAAGCACTTGCAAACATAGCATTGTATTTCCTGATAAAAACAACAGTGTCAACAGAACATATAATATATAATATATATAGTATGAAACATAACTGACCTTGAGGTCATCTGGAGAATATGCACTCTTGCATGAGAACATTTCATGCCCTGAATCACCACATTTCAAACATATTTTAGCATTTTGATATCCCCCAATGGATTTCTCAGGGCAATCTTTCGCACGGTGGCCACCTTTCTTGCAAATGAAGCAATCTTTCCCCTGACAAAAAGAAAATAATAAGACCCAACTACAACATCATACACTTTAATTTAACTACACATCCTAACCTTGTTGCACTGCTTCACATTGTGGTCAAAACTCCCACAAACAAAACAAGGCTTCTTGCGTCTAGCTGATGTACAGTTTGCACTTATATGACCACCTTCACCACAATTATAGCAATTTCCCCAGTTGTTATCTGGAGGATCAAAATACCTTGGTCCCCTCTGTGAATATATAAATAAACTATTAAAAAATATCAGACCTCACACTCATAATTGCAACAGATTTATTTTACTTTTTTTTTTAATGTATTATTCATTAGACCTACAAGAAGCTTTCGCAGCACAATATTATCAGATTTCTCTGCAGGGTTTGTCTCCAATGTTACATCACTATCTTTTGGTTCCACGTCTTCAACCTGTTACAATCAAAAATATCTTATAAATTTTTGACAACCACAATGCACCTGAAATTTGTACAATTTTGCCTACTTTATCCAGTGAGGAGGAAAAAAAAATCATAATATTCAATTGAATTTAAACTGCTTACAGCATTGTCTTCCATCTTCTCCTTCTTTCTCTCCTTCCTCTTCTTCCTCTTTTTCTTCATTTCTGTGAGATTTTCTTCGGGCTTTGAAGAAGATGCTGAAGGATTAGTATTGGTTTCATTACTTAACATTTCTTTTTCAACGGCTTTCAAGCTTAGGTCATTATCGGCATCATCATTGCTGCTGAGAAATATTGGGGCAGAATCAGACTTTGGGTCTTCAACCTAATTACAATCAAAAGAAAGATTTAAATTTACATCAAGGCCACCACCATGCAGCTGATTTTTGTGAACAAACAAAAACTTTCAACTATGCTATCCACACTTGCCCAGTCGCTCCAGTGTAAATAACTAATTATTACTCAAAAAAAGATACTTCCTACTATTAATAATCTTTAAGGCGGTGTCTGGAGACATCAATTCGTGTAAATTTTCAATTGGAATCGAGGCAGAGGTTAGTTGAAACAAACCCATCATTCAAATCTCTTTGCTTCGTGAAAGGAAACAAATAAAGTGGATTCCAAATGACCGAAATAAAGGAAGTCCGTCATTAAATTTATGCACAATAACATGTACATCGTTGCCTTTTCGCAATTTTATGGATGCTTTGACACAAATAGACGGTGAAAACAAAATGGAAAAATATCGAACATAGAAAAGCTCAAATTTTCAATTGAATTCGAACTGCTTACAGCATTGTCTCGCGCCCCCATCTTCTCTTTCCTCTTCCTTATTATTTTCTTCACTTCTGTGGTAATTTCTTCAGGCTTTGAAGAAGATGAAGGATTAGTATTGGTGTCATTACCACAGGCTCGTAACATTGCTTTTTCTACGATTTTCAAGCTTAGGTCATCATCGGCCTCGTCGTCGCTGCTGAGAATAATCGAGGCAGGATCAGACTTTGGTCCTTCATCGGCTTTAGGGTTTGCTTTTGGCAGTCTTGGCTTCTTCCTTGGCGATTTACCCATGGTTTAGAAGGCGAGTTAGAAGGTATGCTGCGATTGGAATTTTAGAGAAACCCTAACCCTCGTTGCCGCCTCGTATCCGTAGGTTTTCAACGTTCCTACCGAGTTTCTATACCATTTAAATTATCTGTATTTATATTTACGGAAAAAGTAGTAGGGTGTATTGAATTTGGAATTATTAAAACTTATATTTTTGATATAATTTCTTAAACTTTTTTATATAGGGAATATTTAAATTTGTTATTAGATGGTGATGATTTTTTTTAGTTTTGTGAAATATAGGGATATTTTTTGTAATTTTGATTTTTGCATGGATTATTTCTATAATTTTGTGAAAAATAAAGAACATTGTTATATTTTGTGAAACATATGGATCATTTATGTAAATTTTCTAACAGACAGCAATGCGAATGCGAATCGCAACCTTTCGCAGTCTAAATCACTTGTTGGATGCAACCGGAAGAGTCATTGTGAATGCGAAGTTTGGGAAGGTGACTGCGAATGACTAGTCTTGGTGTGTGGATGCGAAAGTTCAAAATGCGAAAAGTTACGTGTGCATGGAGTTTGCATGGTCTCATATGTCGGTTTAGCTGGAAGGTTCTAGGGGCATGTTTGGTTTGTTTTTAGTGTGAACCAGCCTTTGCAAGGTAGTTTATTTTTATTTTTGAAGTTTCATTTATTTTATAGTTGCCTTATTTTATTCCATTTGTAAGGCTATATAAAGCCCTTAGTTGAACATTTTCATAGATGTCTTTGCTTACTGATTATTGAAATAAAGAACCTTGTTCTTTGAGTTGCTTACTCGTCTTTGTCAATTCTATATCGCATTTTCTAGGTTGATATGAACTCAAATCAATAGGTCTTGATTTGTTTTCATCGATACTCAATCTATAGGTCTAGATTGTTTATCACTTCTATCTTTTCTTGATTTCTTGTTGTGCAAGTTATTTAATATTCTTGTGTTCTTGGTTTTAATCTTAGATATTCTGTTGCATTCTTAATTATTGAAATTAATCCCTCCATACACGTATCATAAGTGGTACCAGAGCGTCAAATTTCGATTTTCCTGACGTGTATGTTCGATTTTTGTTCGATTGATAGATCTTGTTGTTGGTGTTTGGAAGTCGCTTCAAGAAACCATGAATGTTGATGATCTAAATTTCATTAACACCTTGCGTGAAGCCTTGCATGGTTTACAAGAGGGTGGAGAAATGCGGCAACCTAGGCGTTGACCGTTTAGAATGGCTGAAGAATGCAAGGTGAATGAGTTGCCTAAGTTCGTTGGTGGTGTTAATCTCGAAGTTTACTTGGATTGGGAAAAAAAGATCAACCGGATCTTTGAGTTTAAGGAGTTGGATGATGATAAATGTTGTAAGTATGCGGTTCTTAAGTTGAGTGGAGGAGCATCACTATGGTATGAAGGCTTGAAGCATAGAAGGGCTCGCAAGGGTAAAGAAAAGATCACATCTTGGGAATCTTTAAAGCAGAAACTTCGAAAAAAATATGTTCCTTCTCATCATAGATCGACCACCTATAAGAATATGACGTATTTGAAGCAAGGAAGGTTAAGCGTGGGCGAATACATCAATGAGTTCAAGAAGTTGACATTGTTGGGGATGTTGAGGAGTCTGAAGAGCAAAAGATGGCACGCTTTACTAGTGGGTTGAATTATAACATAGCAGGTGTTGTGGAACTTTATACTTGTTTTGATTTTGGCGTGCTTTATAGTCTCAGTTTGAAGGCAAAATTGCAAGGGAAGACAAAGTTTGTGGGAGGTTCTAGTGGAGTGATGGATAAACCTAAGCCTTGGGTGAAGTCAGAAGCAAATGTGAAAGCAACTGCTACTTCTACTGTTGCGAACAACCCCATTATGACTCTAAAAACAAGCAATGCGAATAAAGAAATGAGTATGTCTAGGGTTCATTACGTTAAGTATCAAGGGTTTGAGCACTACAAGAACGCGTGTCCAAACAGAAGGGTAGTGACGCTTAGAGTGGCTATTGCGATCCGGGATGAGTTATTGGAAGAAGAATCAGTTTTGGACGACACTTTTGTTTATGAGGAAGTTTGTGAAGGAGAAAAGGAAGAAGAGAAGTATGATGCCCCAAAGTGCGATACGATGTTGGTCCTTAGGGCTTTACAAACTCAAGTGATACATGTTGATAGCGATCATAGAGATCAATTTTTCATACTAAAATGTCGTGTGAATGATCGATGGTTTAGCTTGATCATCGATGCTGGTAGTTGTACGAATGTGGCTTCAAGTGAGATGGTTGTGAAGTTTGGTTTAGTTACAACAACCCGTCTTAAACCATACTCACTTCATTGGCTAGATGATGAGAATAAAGTAAAGGTGACAAAACAAGTTCGGGTTGGTCTAAAATTGGGATCGTACAAGGATGAGATTTTATGTGATGTTATTCCAATGGATGCTTCCCATATTCTATTGGGATGTCCTTGGAAGCTCGATAAGGATATGGTGCATAAGGGGAGGAGTAATGAGTATGAGTTGAAACACAATGAGAATAAGATCATGATATCACCTATGTCCTCAGCCGAAGTGAGATCAACGAATAATAAGAAACCAAGTTTGACTATGTTCGCTAGTGAAAAGGAGGTGAAACAGGTTCTCAACAAGGGGAGGAGATTTACGTCCTTGTTGCGAAAGAAGACCCAAAGATAGAGGCTACGAATGAAGACCCAAAAAAGGAGGTGAATGCAAAAGTAGAAGGCCCAATCGCAGAATTGCTCGTGGAGTTTTGTGATGTTTTTCCAACTGATTTACCACCAAGTTGGCCACCAATCCGTGGTATTGAACATCAGATCGACCTCTTTCAAGGTGCTTCTTTACCAAATAAGGCAACTTATCGTTGCAATCCAGAGGAAACAAAGGAGTTTCAAAAGCAAATCGATGAATTAATGAACAAAGGCTATGTTCGTGAGAGCCTTAGTCCATGTGTGTGTTCCGGTCTTACTCGTGCCTAAGAAGGATGGAACATGGTGAATGTGCATGGATAGCAGAGCAGTGAATAATATAACAATCAAGTATAGGTTTCCCATTCCTAGAGTTGACGATATGTTGGACGAATTGCATGGGTCAGCGGTGTTTTCGGAGATCGACTTGCGAAGTGGTTATCATAAAATTCACATGAGAGAATGTGATGAATGAAAGACAACCTTCAAGACCAAGCATGGGTTATACGAATGGACGGTGATGCTATTTGGTCTTACGAATGCTTCTAGTACTTTTATGAGGTTGATAAACGAAGTATTAAAGTATTTTCTTGGGAGATTCGTAGTTGTATACCTTGATGATATCTTGGTATATAACAAAAGCAAAAAAGACCATATGGTGCATTTACAAAAGGTGTTTGAGACTCTTAGAACACAAAAGCTTTATGGGAAAAGGGAAAAATGTTTGTTCTTGGTGGAAAAGGTGATTTTCTTGGTTTATGTTGTTTCCAAAGATGACGTTTGGTGGATCAATCCAAGATCGAAGCAATAAAGTCATGGCCTACTCTTACTACTATTTCAGAAGTCTAATCATTTCATGGGCTTGCTTCGTTTTATAGGAGGTTCATTCGCGACTTTAGCATCATTAGGAGTCCGACCAAAGGTTGTTTGAAGAAATGAACTTTCACATGGGGGAGGATGTTCAGAATACCTTTACGAAAGTGAAGGAGTTATTGTGTGATGCTTCGGTTTTAGCACTTCTTGAATTTTCGCAACCATTCAAGATAGAGTGTGATGCGAGTGTCATTGGAATATGAGTTGTTCTCATTCAAGGTAGGCGGCCTATCGCTTATTTTTTAGAAAAGCTTGGAGGTGCTCAATTAAATTAGTGTACGTATGATAAGGAGTTTTACGCCATTGTTCGAGCGTTGGATCATTGGAGCCATTACTTACGTGCAAATCATTTTATTTTGCACCCAGATCATGAGTCATTAAAGTATATTAATAGTCAGCAGAAGTTGAGTACACAACATGCTAAGTGGGTGGATTTTTTGCAATCTTTTCACTTTCCGTCCAAGTATAAAGATAGCAAAAGCAACGTGGTGGCTGATGCACTGTCGAGGTGATATTCTTTATTAGTGACTTTGGATGCTCGATTCTTGGGGTTCGAGGCATTGAAAATTTATTATGTAACTGACATATATTTTGGAGATTTGGTTTTAAAATGTGCAGGTGGACCTGAAGGTGAATTCGTTTTGCAAGAAGGTTTTTTTTCAAAGGCAATAGACTTTGCGTCCTAAAGCATGCGATTCATGAGTTGTTGGTGCGAAAAGCTCATGGTGGATGGATAGCTGGGCACTTTGGTATTACAAAGACTTCTGAGATACTAAAGGAACATTTTTATTAGCCAAAGATGTTAGGGGACGTGACCAATATCGTGAACAAGTGCGTGACATGCCAAATGTCCAGGACTGCGTTCAAGCAGGGGTTGTACTCTCCTTTGCCGGTTCCTAATCATCCTAAGGAAGATTTATCTATGGATTTTGTGGTTGCTTTATCTCGTACGCAAAAGGGTAAGGATGCAATTATGGTGGTGGTGGATCGTTTTTCCAAGATGTCTCATTTTGTTGCTTGCAACAAAACTGATGATGCTAGTAGTGTGACTGATTTATACTTCAAGGAGATTGTTCGTTTGCATGGCATTCCAAAGACTATTATTTCAGATCGAGATTCGAAAATTTTTGAGTTATTTTTGGAATATTCTATGGAGGAAAGTGGGTACGAAACTACTGTTTAGTACTTCGAATCACGCACAAACAAATGGATTGACAAAGGTTACGAATAGGACCTTGGGAACATTGTTTTGAGGGTTAGTGAGTAAAACTCAGAAAGATTGGGATGTAAAGCTGGCAGATGCTGAGTTCGCTTATAGTCGATCTCTTATGTTCGCATATGGATACTCACCATTCGAGGTTGTCTACGGTGTTAATCCATATCTTCCCTTAGATCTAATTCTGTTGCCAAAAGAAGAATTAGTTCATAAGGATGTTGAAGCAAAGTTGAAGTCAATGATGAAATTGCATGGGAAGATTCGTAATCGCATTGAAGCTGTGGATGCGAACTATAAGCAGAATTTGAATGAGAACAAGAAGCCTCGAGTATTTGCTGATG